AGATATACCCTAATGTGAGAGATGGAACGGATCTTGAGGATCTTGAGTCAAACCGGGAACTCAACCCACAAGGTAAGTGAATATTCTATAAATCGGTCCATCAACAATTTATATTCTTACCATAATAATTGGATTTAATAATATATCGTACATATTTATGAAGTGGTCCCATAATTATCCAACAATCTCCCACTAGACCACGAATATATAAATGTATGTATAACTGTATAAGCGCTTTAATGAATGTTATTATAACATTGGTACCCTTAAACAATCTCATCCACTAATCATAATAGTATAGGATCAAAGCAGCATTCGTTACAATTTACGTAACTAAACCTATAAATAGTCACATATACATATATAAGTATATAACTAACGACATAGATTAAACATAATGTGTGGTTTTAAAATCTAAATAGATTTCTGACGAGTTCCTCTTTAGATTGAAGTGAGACCAAACTTCAAATAAGTGCAACTAATAATGGAGTTAATCGAATTCTTAATTCTATACAGAAAAACCTAATTGTTCTTAAACAAAACATAAAGCACCATAAAACTTCCACTAAAACCAAATATCACACCAACGTGTGTAGTATGCTCATGAAAGACCTAGGGAGGTAATCCCTTTATGAGCAGATCCGCTTTCATGGAGTTTGTTCATATGTGCTATATATATTTCCATTTTGCACTATTGTGTTAACAGAAGGAAACTTGATGTCAATATGCTTTGACTTAATAGAACTTCTGTTGTTGGAATATAATATTGCTGACTTATTATCACAACTTTAGTGGTCTTTCAATACCAATAATGTGTAGCCTCGTGACAAATTTTCGCAACCATATTCCATGCTACAAATTATGTTGCCATTATGGAAGAAGCTACTGAATTCTATTCCATGAAATGGCTCATCATGCTAAAATGTAGAAGTATCCCGATATGGATCGGTAACCATTTTGGCATCTAATGAAATCAGATTCCTAATAAAAATGATCTCCAAAACATCTGATTTCCTTTAGTTGAGCATATAGCCTTTTGTTATATATAGATATCTCAAAATCCATTTGGCTGCTTTCTTATGATCTAAATTTGAGTTGCATAAATATCTGCCCAAAACCAGAAATATAATTTTACTCCCACTTAATCTGTGATACACAAAATCATCTATTGTATTTACCTCAAAATCAAAAGAGATAATAAATTGATGAAAAATGTGGTACCACGCATAGGATATCCAAAGTTGAGGTTGTTGAGTTTGTGTATTCAGAATAGGAGATTGCATAACATTGTCGATCACTGATTCATAATCTGCATACTACCGAAAGCAATAATAGGAATCAAGATTGATTCCTCCTTAAGGACAATGTTTTAACCTTGTTTCTCCCCCAAACTCAACATCCTCAAAGAATGTTGCTCTATCCAAAAATGCAAGTCAATATCCATGCAATTGAGAACTAACATAATGCCCTCATTCCATTCCTTAAAGTTAATCTCATTGAGTACATGAATCATAAATGTGATCAATGTTAGCAGATATAATACCATAATTCAAACATAAGCAAATCTATTTTTATGCTCATTAATCCATAGACCGTAATCAATAAAATTCAATTTATGACATCTTTACAATGTATCGACACAACATTAATATCAAGTCTTTGGACAGTAATACTAACTTCCAAGAGATAACCTTGTTTTAGAGATAAACATTGACAATAAATCATGTCAATTAACAAGCCCCTCTTTGGATTGACTTATTAATCACATGGAACCAAAAAATACCACATGTTTATAACCACATATATGTGTATTCGGCCAAATATCAGTCTACCTTTGGTTCGGCTAATACCCGCATTAATAAACACGTAAACTATAAATTTTGATAATAAGAAGTGACAATATATCATGTCAATTAATAAGCCCCTCTTTGGATTGACTTGTTAATGACATGTAACCTAAAAAACTGTCACATATTTATCATCAAACATGTGTTTATCCGGCCAAATGTTAACCTACCTTTGAGTCGATTAATATCCGCATTAATAAACACAAAACAGAAATTTTAAGTTCTTTGTAAATTAATTTTCACAAATAAGATCACATATTTGGTGATATAATGTGTCAATTAATTTACTCTTGAAAACAAATAAATTTTCATAACTGAAAATTATTGACAACAAAAAAGAAAAAGAAATTACAAATATTAATCGGTATCAAAAAAATACCATTTTCATAATTTCTGCAAATATTACAACCATAATAACATAATCTTACTTTTACATAAACATACATTCGGTTGCAGCATTGCTTAAAAATAAACCTCATTAGTAGAGATGGAACTTAAACAAAAATACATTTCCATCTCGCATTATTTGTCCATAATCAAAATTCACGAAAACATTAGTGGAACAGACAACTACTAATTGCATATAATACATAAAAATAATCATTGTCTATTTAATATTCCAAACAATTCGTGAAAAAAGTTAAGGGGATCCCAAAGTAATTGATTAACAGAAACCATAACATAAAACCTACTATCAATGACAAACATTTGAACCGAACGAATCAAACATTTATTTGATATGGTTTTATGATTTGAATTACGTATTTACTCTTGCTTATAAAAAAATGATTTGTAAATTAAAGAATCGTATCTTCATTTACGTAAATGCAATCTACATAACCATATAAATGGATCTTTAAATGTAATTTAGATATAAATGTAATTACATCTATTGATGATAATCATTTACACAGAACCTAAATCTTACCGCATAATATCACACAAATTAAAGTAATATCTCACAAACATTAATAATAGCCACGTGATATTGATTTTCCGGTAATGTTGATTTTACGTAAAATATATTATATATAATGGGCTTTGACAACAAATAATAAAAGAAAAGAAAATTCATTTTCCTTTTAAAAAAACCTTAATTATTGCATCAAACCCTATGTGAACACCGCCTACATACATAAGCAATAAATCTCAGAAATATATTAACATAATATATTTTCCAACCCAAAAAAAATCGTATGCATATTAATTCCATGATTCTTGGATTTAATTACATATACTGTCAATTAAATATGATGCGATATATACGAAAGACCATTCAAAAGCCTGACCAACATAATTACTCTTGTAAATTATATTCACAAGAAAAAATATATATCGCAATGCCATACATTTATACGCACATCGAAAATACATGCAAGAAAACAATATATATATATATATATATATATATATATATATATATATATATATATATATATATATATGCATTTTTTTTTTTGCATATTAGTAGAAGAAACGCATGAAGCAACAGGTATGTATAATCAAATATATATATATATATATATATATATATATATATATATATATATATATATATATATATATATATATTCTAATAACATATTCAAGTAGGCTCTGATACCAATTGTTGGTTATTTCCATAACCAAAACATAAAACGCGGAAGCTTTAGATCTTAATCTCGAATCTGTCAACAGAAAACTTAAACAAGAATGAAAGATTGATTACATACCTGATTTCATTATGATATTCGGATCTGAAGAACTAGAGTTGAGTTTTTCAGTTGATCTCAAAAGCTCTCTCTAAGATCCCTCAGCAAACCCTAAACGAATTTACTTGTATGTATTTTCGTATATCTTGATTGCTCCTCATCACATGTATATATAGATGGAGATATACCCTAATGTGAGAGATGGAAGGGATCTTGAGGATCTTGAGTCAAACCGGGAACTCAACCCACAAGGTAAGTGAATATTCTATAAATCGGTACATCAATAATTTATATTCTTACCATAATAATTGGATTTAATAATATATCGTACATATTTATGAAGTGGTTCCATAATTATCCAACACAATCTACCAATCTGACATATGCTGCCATACTTCTGAGTTCTGAGGTAGTCGAGCATTCAGTAAATAAGTGATTTTCATCTTCTGGTGCATTATGGAAGAGCTTGCAACAATTGTTTGAGCCAATACCTCTTATTTACTAAATTAACCATGGTGGGTAGTCTACCATGACGTATTCTCCAAGCAAGTATGTTGAGCTTTCAAGGTACCAAATGATTCCATTCCCAACAGTTTGGTGATTTAGGAAGGATTGAGTTGTCAATGAAGTGTCAAAGAGACGAGACCGAGAACAACTTGGATTTACACAATGTTAAGTGTCCACCGAAGGAAAGGTTTGAGGCTTTCCATTTTGATAACATATAAACAAAATTTATTAAGAAACAATTTATTTTTTATGAATAAACTATTTAAAAGTTATTCAATCTTAAATACATTTTGTACAATTTTTTCGTACTTGGTTTGACGTGTTTAACCGATTTTATCCCTTTTATTTTCATTAAAGTTTTAAATTGCATATATTTAACCTGCTCGAATTAAAAATATGGTACAAACGAGCTCATTTTCAGACCATTATAATGAACTTGTCACCAGTAAATTATACTTTTTTGGCCAAGGTCGTGAAACAATCCATCTAAATACCACTACCCACACAACCAAACAATCCATCGTCCGTTCTATTTGTCTTTTTATATATGATAGACTACCATTAATCTGTGCTAAAGACCATTTAGGTCTGTGGAGGGCAAACAAACTGCTTATTTCTAGAAGACAAAATACGTAAAAACATATATTCGCTCTCTTTTAGCAAACATTTCTAACATTTAGCTTTTAAACTTTGACCCGTTTACAAGTTTTTTTTTCTGGATTGTGTTTTTGTTTTGAATTTAAATATAGTTCTTACTGATTTTGAAAAGATAATGGTAGTGGTGTCGGTGGTGGCAACAGATGATGATGTCATTTAATTTTATTTCATTTAAATAATTATATTTTAACCTGTAAATTTAAAAAAGTCTTATATATATGCAGACTTTTGGTCTGTGTCTTCTTTAGCAAACATTGATAAAGACTACAGACATTTACCTCTTAAAAAACAAGACTTCACATATTCTGAGGTAAAGAATGTTGCTGAATTTAATAGAGTAATTTTTTCATTACATGTACAAACAATTGTACCATATATACATCTAATTTCTGATAATAATCCGTGAACATCTTCGTGAGAAACATTGTTGTTTATAGCATTGTACATTCAAATTATTTCGGTGGTAATGCTCTATTACCAGAGTAGATGTTCACAAAGTTAATTTCATAGAGGAGCGTTGCATTCGCAGGTATATTGCACTCACCTATTCAAATACAATAACATATCAATTGACTTCACATTTTAAATATTTCATGCACATTTAGCCCAAAGTTAAAAAGGGGTACCAGAAAAGCAACCAGCGGGCTCTGGTCCATATGCTAATTCCGGAGGAATTTGAAGTCTACGTCTTCCACCTACAGAAGCACCGCCCATGTGTCATACAAGAAGACACGACTGGACAAGCTTTCTAGGGTTGTTTTCAATGATAAGGATGAGAAGGGCATTTACGTCTTTTGTACAAACAAAAGATCGATAGCAAATCTCTGTTCCACCCTTTTGGGTGGGACAAAGATCCGAGTCTCGGACCGAATCCAAACACAGTACATCATGTCATGTCATGTCATGGTTTTTTAGATCTTACCAACAAGCATGGGTGGAACACCCTCGCCCCCAAAGATCCCTTGGTCAAGTCCCTTGATCACCTGGATGTAGAGAACGTATAAATATTAGAACAAAAGGGTAAGATAATGATAGGGAGGGCATTCACGTCTTTTGCACAGATGACAGATCAAGAATGAGTTCTTCTCCTACTTTCTGAGAGCGACAAAAAGCTGAAATTTTGTCTTATGCGTGCCAAAGACGATATACGGTCGCCATGGACCGGACATGACAAGCTTTCTACGGTTGTCTCGTATGATGAGGATGAGGAGGGCATTTGCGTCTTTTACACAGACAAATATATATTTGACAATAAATTGCAATTTTTTTCCCATTGACATCTGTCCCAGTCAAACTTAGTACAAGGTTGTCATGTCTTGTCCAAGTCGGACATAACAAACAACCTTTAAAGATAAATATACAACAATTACCAAATTGCCACTAACTAATTCATACCTTGCCAACACCAATACGCATAGTTAGTGGTCTTCCACGTTTATAACTGCTGTCAAAAACTATGCCATCAGCAAATCTTGCAGTATAATGAATCTGTAAGAAGGGAAAGGGGGAATATTTGAGGATTAAATTCACTATATATACATTTCAACTTTGATTGTCAAATAAAGGTATATGGAATATTGGGATAAACAAGCATGAAGCGTCAGATATAAGTTTCAAGTTTCTCTATTTCAAATTTTCCATTTGGAATCGAAATTCGATGAAAATCCAAGAAACGCCAAAAGTTTTTGCATTCAATCAAACAAGCTGGATCAGAAAGTGATGAAGAACAGAAATACTCAAAATCAGACATTTCTATGAAATTAGTCACATTTCGGATCCAAAACTATATATGTTTGAACCAGAGGGGAAATTGTTCTCTACTATAATCAGTTTCGAGGTTCACAAACTATTTTCGAATTTGATTTTTCTATTCAACTAGGGATTATAATTTCAATGCATAATCTAATTTTCAATTACAATAATATAAACTCGAAGTTGGAACTAATGGATTTAATCTCAAATGTCTGTAACTCACATTGATAAGAGTGGAATAGGGAGCTTCTTCACCAAACCCAGGAGCGACGTCGCAGTACCCAAGTCCTGATGGCGCAAACTGAAGCTCACAAGAGGGTTCTGCAACGGTGGCGTAATATTCGATTCTAGTAGCATTAGCATCAAGCGGGGAGGAAATTAGCATTGAGGCAGCTAACAATCCAATACCTACGCCCGCTAATCCCCTCTTCTTGTTAGGTTTAGGAGTAAGATTAGTTGTAGAGTCTAGAGAGCAGTTCGAATTAGAATGCCACTTGATGGTGGTGCAGTGGTGGTGTGGCCTGGTGGCGGAGAGTTGAAGGGTATGGTGGAGAGATGGTGTGGTTAGCGTTTGAAGTGTGGAGATCGCCATTTCTGGGGACGATGAGGTTTGTGTCTTGCTTTCTATCGATCTATCTAGAGCTTGTGGATAGACAAAATTCCCGCCTGTAGGTTGGCTAGTTCGAGGGATTTGTGTACTTTAATCTACAAAATCCGTGTATTTTAGTTTTATTTCATTTTTGTACGAGAATCGATAATAAGTTATGCGCTATTAGGGAAAAATAATAAAGATTTTTATCTTTTTGTTTATATTTAAATAATTTTTTTATTTTTATATATATTTTGATCATTTAACTTGTTATATGTATTTTCATATTGTCATTGTCATCGGGTATAGCAGGTGATAATGTTAATATGTGTAACATCCATAAAATTTGAGCCAAATTAAAACATTTTAATTCATTCAAAAACTATTAAGTTCATACATCTCGTTTTCAAAATAGTTTAAACATCAGAGTATCCCCCAGAACCATATCACATAAATCATAAAACATGAGCAGCGGTACGATCACGCCTTCGCCTTGCCACGATCTCCTGAAGTACCTGAAACAATACACTGAAACTGTAAGCCCGAAAGTTTAGTGAGTTACCCCCAAAATACCAACCACACATAAACATACTCATAACATATCACAATACAGAACGGCCATGCACATCGGGTCTACTATGTGACTGGTCCGCCCGCACCGGGCCTTCAGTCCACCTGGTCCACCCTCCGAGTCTAGCCATGTACATCGAGTCTACAGTGTGATTGGTCCGCCCGCACCGGGCCTTCAATCCACCTGGTCCACTCTCTGAGTCTACAGTATGACTGGTCCGCCCACACCGGGCCTTCAGTCGGTCTGGTCCACTCTCCGAGCCTCGGCACGTCTGGTCCGCCCTCTTGGGGCCTTCAGCATATCCGGACCGCTCGCTGGGCCTTCGGAATACCCGGTCCGCCCTAGGTATGTTGGCCTACAGCACAAAGCAGGACCCGTCTCAACCCAACCCCCGTCAAACAACCATGTGCACATAAAACAATTATTCACATAACAAATCCTTAACCAGACAAACAGTCTAAACAGATCACATAACATATCAACCTCCTAACCAGGACTCCGACCTATCCGGTCACTAGCATAACATTACTCTATATACTGGGTACCGACCTTAACCAGGTCACTAACATAACACCACCCTAAATACCAGGGTGTAGACATAGCAAATCAATACATATCAAACCAATACCCGGATTTCCATCCGATAAAGGGCCGACCTTGGTGACGTAGACCCTGTCGATATAATGAGGATAACTCACATGCAATTGCCGACTGAAGAGATAAGCCCAAGCTGCTCCGACCACCGACACGAACTTCACCACAGAACACTACCAAAGAACCAATTCCATAAATACCAAAATTACCAAAATACCCTTGGAAGTCAAACTGGTCAACTCTTGGTCAAAGTCAAAGTCCTCAGTCAAAGTCAACCCTCCTGGTTGACTCTACTCGCCGAGTCAACCCGTCGACTCGTCGAGTCCTCATACTCAGAAAACTCCCATAACACGACTCAACTCGGCGAGTCGCCCCAAGACTCGTCGAGTCCAACGATCTCCGAGTCCCATCCTGACCAACTCACTGAGTCACCCCTCGACTCACTGATCTGCATCTTAACCAGAAGAGGTTAGGGGTTCTGCGACCTGACTCGCCGAGTCCAAGAACAGACTCGCCGAGTCCAAGGCAATCTTCAACAGACTCGCCGAGTTGTTCTTCCAACTCGCCGAGTCCATGCACATGTTCATACAACTCGTCGAGTACACCCATGTGACTCGCTGAGTCTCTCCAGTTCTCAATCCATTCAGAGACTTTTAGAGCCATGCAGGGGCTCCAATCCATAGATCCACTCTTCTACAGCCTAACCCTAACATAAAGTTGCAAACTTTACGTGAAACCAAGGAGATATAAGCCCAAAACACTCTAGGGCTAGGGTTTATGACAAAGGGGCTTCACCACTAACTCTTAAACAGGAGCTTTATGACATTAAGGACCATCACAAGCTTAGATCTGGAGTAGCAACCTCATATCTACACTCCAAACATGAAATAGGTCTCAAACAAGCTAAGGAACTCCAAATCAACCACCAAAGATGAACCCAAAAAGGAAATAGCTTAAGATAATGGCTCCTTACCTCTGAGATGTGCCCAAACTGATGTAGATTCCAAATCTACACAAGCCCCTTGATGCTAGCCTCTAATTTCTCAAGCTCCTTCCACCAAATTCCTCTTCCAAGCTCCAATCTCCTCAACAATGAAGTCTCACACGAAATTAGGGTTTTCTGGAACTCTTAGGGGGACTAGGAGGCTGGGAGGAGGACATAAAGCCCTTTAAATAGGGTGCAACCCTTGGGATTAGGGTTTTCTCATTCCAGCACCAACTCGTGGAGTCCAAGCCGCCGACTCGGCGAGTTGGCCACTTAACCCGCGATCAATCCCGCTCCGACTCGACGAGTAAGCGGACCTACTCGTCGAGTCCCTTTCCTAAATTTACACATTTGGCCCTTCATTGAACAATTGAAATTTGGGGTGTTACAACTCTCCCCCACTTAAATTAGGCTTCGTCCTCGAAGCCTACTGCAGTATACGCCTCAGAACGAACCCCTTGCACTGCAGACTCCGACTTCTCAATCAACTCATACTCTTACAAACCCTACTTCTGCATCTCTCTTAAAATGGCTTATTCTCACGTGGCATCCTTGCCACTACTCCAAACCGATCATCGGCCTTTCAACTCAATAGCACCACGAATTAACCACGAATCACTCGATAATACTAACCCTTCATATCAGGGACACGCTTCCGCGCCCTGCAATGCTAGATTCCACAAACACCCACTGAGCTCTGCTAAGAAACTAATCCATCTTCCTTCGCCCAAAATTGGCAATAACCCTGATAATTTGCAACCTGGAACGAATCCTCATGATGGAATACCCCAGATTGGAATACCTCCACATACATAACTCAAGCCTACAACCATACTCGGAACTAAGGACCTTGTCCTTACGTCACCCTCGAACCCTTTGGTTCGACACAACGGAGTGCAATCCACTTACACCTCCCGATCACGATCTCTAGGTCCTTGACCTCCGACTGTAATATCCTTATACCGTCCTCAGCACCGGTTCAGACTACTCCCGAGTCTGTTATCCTGCCGACTCACCTTCCTCTGGCCCAATCTCCAATCTGGAACCACTATCCTCCTCCTTTTACAAGGAGACTGAAAACATTCCTGCGCATCATCCAACATTGCCACAATCTCAACGGGCATCCAACCCGTATGTGCTTCCATATATCTGGTACAACCCCAGTGCTTACTACCAATAACTGCAGCACTTTCGATCATCCATTTACTCTGCTGCCTCCCTTTCAGAGGACCCACACTCCTTCCGGAGCTACATACCTTTCCTTTCCAGGAAGTCTACTCAACAACCCTTACCGCACCTATAAGTGCCACTGAGCTAAACTCCACTCTACACTATCCATGTAGAGCAACTGTTATTCTCGAACTCCCATATACTCCGTATCCGATCACATAACTAACAAGGCCCACGCACGGCCTCCAGCCAACTCCATCGTCATGATCAATACTTGGGGATAGACCATATCGATTACTATTGCATGGCGACATATTCACTCATTCTCCGCATACAGATCTACTAACACATCCAGAGTCTTCAGCATGACTGGACCGCCTTACCAGGCCTTCAGCCTATCTGGACCACTCTCAGAACCTTCAGCATGTCTGGACCGCCCTACTGGGCCTTCAGCCTGTCTGGATCGTTCCCCGAGCCTTCGGTCTGACTGGTACGCCTTCCGGCCTTCAGTCTATCCGGACCGCCCAAAACTGTCGTACGACATCCTGAACCACCCTTTCCGGGAATCTCTCCCATGCAATCTGTTCTAGCCCTCTTGGGGTTCCGAACTCCAGTTCCGTTCCCGGAATCCTTTCCATGGCCTAAACCCAGGCCTCACATCGACCAACTACCTTACCTGAAACCATGGTCTGTTCCCTGCCCCACTTGTCTATCACTTGCTCCAATCATGCCACACTCTCGGCTAACAACACTGATGAATCTAAACAGCTAACCAACCCTGAATACTTGCTGTTTCCACCGTAGAATTTTCCAATTCTCCCCCACTTAGTGTACCAACTACTAACTTCTTCTGACAAACCGGCATAACTCGATCGACTTTACTTGATAAAGTTCCCCCTTCACCAGGAACTAATTCTCTCCGGAGTGAGCAACCTCCATAGGTCACTCTCCCGACATCTCACATCCCGAACTCCAAGGAAGTTCGAATCCCAACTGAACACTTCTCGCAACGCAGTTGCTATTCCAAGCAACGAGATCATATGCCTTATCTTTCGACCAAGAATCCTCCTGAACGCTAACCAACTACAACTCCTAACTACTAAGATCCCCAATCATACTATGAATCATGCGAAAAAGGCGAACAGATTTACAATACCACATAATCAGCAAATAACAAGATATCAAAAAGGAAACATACCCGCAGCTGCATCCGGCTCTGCCCTAACCTCCTCTGCTGTAAGCTGGAAAGCGTGTCCCTGAGCCCTAGGAGGCTCCGCTCCACCCTGACCTCCACCCATAATCCTCAAAGTGGCCGGTGCTGGAGCCTGCACCGGTCTTGCAGCAAGGTGTGGACAGTTGACCCTCAAGTGTCCCACCTGATGACAATGATAACAGATCCTCATATCCTGAGCCGGGACCGACTGACGGCAGTCCCTCGCATAATGCCCTTCTTTCCCACACTTGCGACACGCACCATCGGACCTACAAACTCCAGCATGACCCTTCCCACACTTCTCACAAGTGTGGCTACTCTGACCTCCAACCCTAAAGTCAACGGTTTTGGACCGTTTCGGTGCCGGCTGCGACTGCAACGGGGCCAGCCTCTGCTCTCGCAACTGCAACTCCATCTCTAACTCCCGCCGCCTGGCGGCCTCCTGCAACTCTAACAAGGTATCACAGCTC